TGCCATTTTCTACTTTTAGGTGGTTAGTTAGTTATTTTTATCTTCCGAACACTTCTTCACTCTCAAACTCTCTATTGTGTGAGGGTTCTCTAGTAATGTGTGCCTTGGTGGTGCTTGGAATGAGTTGTTGGGAACTGAGCTGGAAAGCCTTGGTGGTTCTTTAGTCAACGTGATATCTTTATAGTGGTATTAGAGCTTCTCCTATCATTGCTTCATCATATGAATAACTATCACCTTTCACTATCGCATTGCTGTGAGAGAGCATCTCCGGAACCGTCTCTTCTACCTCACTCAATCATACTCCTAGAGGTAAGTTGAGGTTTCCCCTAGGATAACCTCTTAGATAAATCTATGATAATCCCTCTTTGTAATACAGGGTGGCTCTCAATCCACGTAGATATTTATGTTGGTCTATTGTCTTTCTTGTTTGTTGCTATGGGGTGACTCTGGAAAAACATTGGTTTGTCGTCTTCTTGCTTGTTGCTATTGGGTGACTCCAGATATGTGTTCGTTTGTTATATTTCTTTCCAATCACTACTGGGTGGCCGTGGTTTTTGGTGTAAACTATTAGATTCCATGTCAGCCACTCAAGTGGCCTTTGGATTTGCTTTGTTTGTACGTCCACTTTTGAGTGAGTTGGTAACACATAGCTCTAGTAGTTTACTTGCTTTTTCCCTTATTGTGTGATACTTTTGTTTGTGTGTGTTATCAAGTCATCTCACGTGAATCGATATGGTATGTTATTATTTGTTTTTTACATTTGAAAATTGAAAATTAAATGTGTTTTAATTCAAAACAAAACTTTTAGGTCTGAGAGTGAGGTGTAATTTATCTAGATATCATAAGGCTAATATTACTAACATGATTGAAATATTGTATGTTCCCTCATTAGATCAAACATCTCTCATTCTATGCGTAGAAAGGTAGGTTGTGTTTAATCTGCTGAGAGATTGTGGGATACGCTTGACAATTTGTATATTCATACTTCTTTGCCATGACAGTTGTTTTCTTTTGTAAATTTCTTTATGTTTAGGTTTGACCTAGCTAAAGACATAGATAAAAACTTGAATGTGTTGAAACCAATGATTCCAAACACATTATATTATTATACTCTTATTGTATTACTAAATGTCATTCATGATTCAAATAATTACGAATATGCCATCAAATATGACATTTATGTTATTTTTATCTTATATTTATCTTTATCTTATCCATTTTATCTTACTTTATCTTTTAATTGTTCTTTGTTCCATCATTTGCAATGGAGCCAAAGACTCATTGTTTTTGGCTTGGAAATATGATGGATTATAGCAAAATGGTTCACTAAACTGTTTGCGCTTCTTTGTTATGAAGCAACAGTCAGTACATGCAATTTTTTATCCGATTTTCAGTGTGGGTCATCCGAAAACAATCTCGTTTTGCTTTAGTGCAGGGGTAAGACTACGTACATCTGACCCCCCTTATCCCACCGTAGGTGGGAGCCTTTGCGGCATTGGGGTAATGATGATGATGATATCTTTTTATTGTTCTTCTCTTTGTTCTCCTTTTGGCTCTGATATCATGGATTCATTAATGTTAGCCGACCTTAAAATATTTGGAAATATGGCTTAGATGTTGTTGTTGTTGTACTTGATGTAGTTGTGAATGATGTAAGAAGTAAATAACTTGACTTAAAACATGCTAGGGGTAATAGTAACATGTCCAAGGATTTTGGTGAGACTATGTTTGTGAAAGGTAGGTCTAAGAGTAGATCTAAACATCATAAACACAATATCCATAGTAAGAGTAGTAATCCTAATGGATGATAGAAGAGGTATAAATCAAAGGAACGGGTTCGCAAAGTTGTGATAACTCTGGACAATTATTAAAGCTAGCATATATGCTAATGTTGTTGTTGAACCAGAAGTCATGGTGATATGTTGATGGTATGTGATTATGTGAATTATGTCTAATTCTTTGCCTGAACATGATTGATTCATTAGTTAATTCTGATCGTACATATCACATTTCCCCAATAGAAATTTGTTAAGTAGATATGATAAATGTGACAATGGTTATGTGTATTTAGTTGTTAATAAGAGATGCGATGTTCTTGGTGTTGGGGATGTATGCTTGAAATTTCTTATTGTTCTGTGTCAATTGTGAAGAATGTGAGGCATGGCCCGGATCCGTGTCATAACTTTTTATCTAGTAGGTTGTGGTTTGGAAGATAAGTGGCGAAATCGACGTATGAGAATCTTGAAAATTTCACTTTTGTTGTTTAAATCTAAAAAAGTAGATAATCTATAAGTTTGTCTTGCTAAGCCTATTTTTGGAAGTGTTAATGTTGTGGTGGTGGATAATACTACTTTTTGACATAATAGGTTAGGACATTTGAGTGATAGGGTTTTAGATATCATGCATATAAGTGGCTACTTTGGAAAGAACTTGTCACCTTTGTGCCTTTATGTGAATAATTTGTGCTTGGTAATCAATATAAGGTGAACTTTCATAATTCCTCTTACGTTAATCTTTGTAAATGCTCTGATGTGTTTAAGTACATTCATGATGATCTGCTCCAAAGTGTTTAAGTACATTCATGGTGATGTGTAAGGACCTCTAATGTCCCTACTAATGGGTTAAAAGACATTTTATGTTCTTGATTGATATTTTATAACAAATTATGGTTGACCTGATAGAACATATATATGATATGTAGGATAAGCTAAGAAGCATGTAAGCTACTTCTAGCATATTGAAGAAATTATGGGGAGATGTTGGTAGTACTGCTGTCTATTTAATCAATCAATTCCCCTTAGTATATCTAGGTGGAAACAAAAGCATTTTTCTAGGTTATCCTGGTGACCTGGTGGGACAAAAATGTTAATGGTTTTAAGGCCGTGATAAATATAGATGTTGTTTCAGTGGAATTGTTTTTCCTTATTTATGTAAAACTTTACCTGCCTCTGTGCCTGATTCTGATGTGACTCATTTTGAGATGGAGACCCAATCCCTTACCCTTGTCTCTAATGTTAGTTACCCATTCTGCTAATACAGATCTACATGATAGTTTTTGTTACTTGCACAATGACCCCTTTTGTTATATTACCTCTAGTAGGTGGCGCATTAGCATGAACATAAGCATGATAAGTGATAACAATGACTTGCATGTTGATCACATGATGCATGATGAGCATCCTCTATTTGCTTAAACTAATTTGCTTGATACTCCTGAAGTGGATGTTAAAAATGATTTACATAACTATCAATTAGATGTGGATAGTGTGGTTGATTTTGCTTTTAATGTGTGAAATTTATGACTTAGCCTTTAATGTGGTTGAATCCCTTGATTCAAATGAACTTAAGACCGATGGTGAAGCCTTTCCTCCTGTTGTTAACTTTACAAGTGCTATTCTTATGCTTGCCTTAGTTGCTCACTTTCAATAGGAAATGAAGCAAATAGATTTTTTTTACCCCGGAAAGCAAACCACCAAAATCAGTAGGGCATACGTTGGGGGATGAATGCCAGATTTTATTAATAGTATCTGAGAATAAATGAGAGGGGGGGGGGGGGGGGGGGGGGCAAACCAAAACCTCTCTGGAGGCATACCTCCAAGCAAAACATAAAAAGCAATAACATATTGGGGGGGCTAGACCTGACCCAATTAAACAAGTAGAAAGCTAACACATCAATTAAAATCTAATTGAAGGGATGCCAAACATATCCATATAATAGGCCCTCTTAGCACGAATTGGTAAAGAAATAGGCCCACAAAAATAATGCATTGAGCCCGAATGGGCTGCAACTAAATAATGGGCCACAAAATTACCTTCTCGGAAAGTGTGTTGGAAGACCATTCCAGTCCTTTCCACTAACCGTCTGCTTTCTTACATGGTGAGCTAGATAAGAAATTTCATGTGTTAACCAGAGGGCTTTGTGTTCACTAAGAAAAGTGAGCATATTTGTCTACTAAGCAAGGCCTTGTATGGCCTAAAGCAATCTCCTGGAGAGTAGAATATTAAGTTTGGTAAATGTATGCATATCTTTGGATTTTGTGAAAAGGTATATGGTGATCATTGCCTGTACTTTAAGAATACTTCCATTGTTCATGTTTTCTTGTTGATTCATGTTGATGCCATGCTCATGGCCAACCCATGTTTTTAAATCTAGTGTGCATGTGGAAAAAAAAATGATTGAAATTTTTTCCATGAATGACCTAGGTGATACCAATAGGATCCTAGACATAAATATTGTTAGCGATGGATGTAAAAATACTCATGTTTTTAATCATATTTCATATGTTGGAGTATTGAGTCAGTTTAACATGTTTGTTAACAGAAAATGTGTCTCTTACTTCTAATGTTGTGCTAAGTAATGATCAACCCCAAAGACTGAATCTAAAATTGAGAAAATGAAATGTGTGCCTTATTCTAGTTTTGTAAGGTATGTTATGTATCTTATGGTTAGCTATAGATTTCTTATTGCATATTATGTGAGCTGTTTATTGAGTTAGTATATGTCCAATCCTGACTTGTTCCACTAGAATGCTTTAAAATGGCTATTGAGATATTTGTAATCTATTACGTGTCATGGTTTAACTTTTTTGAAATGTGATGGTGGTGTTAAACGGTTAGGCTTTGTGGATTCTAACTATGCTAACGATAGAGATAGAAAGTCCATTAGTTCCCATGTGCTTACTCTGTGCCGTGTGTGCATTAGTTGGAAGCTTTAGTTACAACTATACCACTTTTGCCCTTGACATTATCAGATTATGAGTAGCAAATGTGGAGAAACTGAATAAATGTGTCACAGATTGGAAAGATTGAATAAATGATTAGCAAAAGTGTGCTAGAGACAATAAGTGATTGAAAATGTCAAAATTAGTAACCATAGTGGACGCCATATATCAAAACGCTTGCAACCCAATTTTTTGTCGTTATGCTTGTAATGAAAGAGTTCTTTTGAATGAGTTAGTTCAATCTTATTCTCAATCACATTTGATTGAAAAAACATACAGATAAAGGAGAGGGAGAGGGAGATTGCTCAACAACAGGCTCAATGGGAAACGCAGAACAACAACACGAACCCCTCCTATGTTGTACCCCCACAACTTGTCAACTCTTTTCACCTTAGGTATATATATAATAACTACTCAAGAAACCCACTTTATTATAATTACCTATAGAAAACGAAGTTGCTATTTATCTTGATTGATTGATCTCTCGGGTTTTCTAATCTGGTGTTTGTTTGGAACAATAAACAAAAAATGAATGTTGCAGCGAAGGGTATCATAATGGAGGAGGAGAGTGTGGAGGAATGGAAGGGATTCAGTGTCAACAACAGCTGCCTGCAGCTAACCCTGTAATGCCCCAGTGGATGCTTAGCCACCTTAACGGCTAGCTAACTAAAGAATCGGTTCAAGATATATATAAAGATGTATGTATATAGTCTGAATGGCATCGGGTACCCACCCCTTTGGCAGGACCATCTTGTGCTACTTTTTTTTGCTTGTCTGCGAAGGTTAATTTTTGCGTACATACGTGTTGAAAGAGAAGAAAAGCGATGTAATGGTAATTTCAACCTTGTACGTATATGTATGTAGTTGCCAGACTCTCTCTCTCTCTATATATATATATATAGTGGTAGCGCACAAGTTAAGGGGCGGGGCAAGTAGTGTATGTAAAATTCTATGTAACATGTACGTATGTTTGGTACTAATTAATATATGCAGATACACTTTATTTGGGGAGCTTGTTAAGGATGTAATGTTATTATTTTCAATGGATAGTCTCATGCTCTATTCTTTTGTAGGAAAGCTTTGAAAACAACAAGGATGTTGAAGTTTTAACTATATACAGTGAAAAACTAGTAACCTATTTAATTTACTTGTTCTGTTGCTGCATGTGTACAATAATGATAAATTTTGAAAAATATATTAATGGGTTCTGAATCAGTGGTGACATCTATAAAAAATTGGTTAATGTGCAAATGGGGAAGTATACATATGTCCTTGAACTTCTATAAGGTGTAAAATACCCCTAGTGTTCTTATCAAGGACAAAACCAACACTTAGTAATTGAAAAAAATGGCCTGGAAATTACTATTAGAGTTTTAGTGTCCAAAAAGGTAACCTCTTTTTAGTTTTCCAAAAATGTGACCTGATTAACTGATTTCATTAATTGCACCCTAATATGATTTTAAACACACCTTCCTAATTATATCCCGCCTCCTTTTCGCCTCTTTTTTCTCTCTGGTTTTCTTTTTCTCCCGCATTCATTAACCGTCTCTTCCTTCGAGACCCGTTGTTTCCTTAGCTACATTTCTCGCTCCTGTTGTCGCCGAAATCATCTTTCTACCACGGAAATTAGCTTTCCTTCCACCGCCAAAGCTACATCTGTCGCTCTTGTTGTCACCGGAACTAATGCTAACATCACCGGAAGTGTATTGGTAATTGCTCTCTCCAACCTCTAAATATGTTGTAAGTTTTCTTCGAACTCCATTTCTCTACTTCTCTTTTCGATTTCAGTTTATTTCATATTCACAATACGTAATGTAGAACTCCTCTATTGAGGGTAAATCCCGTAGATCCGAAAGCCCAACACGAACTTTGGATATATCAGGAATGGCACAGAATCAAGGTGTGTAACAAATATAAGATCTGAACTAACTAACACTCGAAAGCTCACTTGTATTAATTAACCAATCTGATTACAAGGAATTTCCCGATCGGTAGGTCAGAAACTATGCTTTAATACAAGAAATAAGAGCAATGATGCTATTCTAGAGCCTGAGTATTGAAATGCTAACCCTTATAATGACTTGAAACCTTCTATTTATACTAATGGAGAGCATGGGCTGCCTCATGCTGATTGGCCGTTGTTCCACCGACTTGGTCATCCATGCTTCCACTTGCTGATGTCACAGTCTGGCATTAATTGCACCTGGCCACTTGGTGGTTGGCCATTGCTCGAACGGGATGTTGGGCTGTACTGAAGATGCTGTCAAATTGGCCCAAGTATGATATATAGCCCGAACTCCGTTCGGTATGTCTTCTTACTGGGCCAACCTTTATTTGGGCCGAATCTCGTTCGGCATGAATTCTTTACTGGATCTATTCATCATAGAATGATGGGCCCGTTGCTTGGGCCGGGTATCTTGGGCCTTCTCGATCTGGGTATTGGGCCTCTAGGTCAATATCCCAACACAAGTCTCCCACTTCCGATGTCTCGAACGAAGTGAGTGCATTAGGAAGTATATCAATGTCATAATACCCCGAATGGCGGTCGGGGTACAGAAATAATCAGTTCCCCATGCTGCGATTCGACGGCTGCCGCTTCATTTCCCCATATTCATCATGATAACCGTCGTTTAGTCTTTTCATTAGACACGTGTTTAGCTTAAATGCTCCTAGTGACGTGTCGCTCTCTGATTGGTTCTTGACACGGCGGTTTCAAGGCTATAAATTAGCCTTTAACTTCTCAATTCCGGGTTTCGATTCTGCAATTCTTTGCGTCTTGTTGTTTCCCCTGCAATTTTCTCCCAGCTTCCTTTGCTCAGGTAATTTCTCAAATCCGGATTCCTTATCTTCATTTCTGGCTCGACCGAGATGAGCCCCAAACAGCATTCCTCTGATTCGGAGATGGCCTCCCATGGAGATGACCGTGATGCCGCCATTGTGGACGTCATTACAGTCCCGTTTGCCGGTGGTTCTACTGAAACGGCGACGAATGCCGGGGCTGAGGCGGAGGACCTTCCTAGCACTTCCTCTTCCTCCAGTGAAGATTCCGACGACACCAAATCCGAGGACGAAATAGCCTCCATGGCGGCTGGACGTCCCAACGATTTTCCTCGCCATACCCTTGACCTAAAATTGATTAGGGAGAGGCGGAAAAAACTGACCTCCCATAATAGGGCTGAAATTCCGGCCCTTATCCCTGACCCGGTGGATTTCCGTTTGCAAGCTGGGCTTCACCCAATGCGTCATAGGCCCGGAATGACCATAGTTCATTTTGATTCAATTAGGGCCGGCCTTAGGTTTCCGCTACATCCCTTTTACATTTCTTTCTTCAATTTCTACGAAGTTGTACCGGCCCAAATTATGCCGAACTCCTATCGGGCAATGGCGGGTTTTATTTGCCGTTGTAAAGATGCCGGCGCCCGACCAACTCTAGAACTCTTCCACCAATTTTTCAAGGTAGCCCCCCAACAAACCCACGGCTATCTGGCCACTAGTGCCCGAACGGGACACATCCTGTTCAAGGGAAACCCAACTTCAATCAAAGGGTGGAAAGACCGGTTTTTCTTCGTGTCTGTCCCGGACGGCCTAATTCCCCGCAAATGGAATGCCTTCCCCCGCAAAACTCCTGATCCTGTCCTCACTGAAGAAATTTACAAGGACGTGCTTGCTGTGGAGAAGGATAAATGCATGGACATCATGAGTTATCTGACTCCCGAACGACTTATTACAGCCGGGATAGGTACTGCCCGTTCTCTTGGGTTTACTTGTTTTGAGAAACCAAGTGCCATGGTCCGGGCGGTCCTTCCCGTGCGAGAAACGTTCTTTTGTTCTTTTTTCTAGTTTCTCACACGCTACGGCCGCTCGATACTAACATTGTCCTTTGTCTTTTTTTTAGCACCAAACCTAGATCTACCTATGGATGATAGCAGAGTTATCGCAGCCGGTGGGGCCGGTAAACGGAAAAAATCCAGGAAGAACCCCCAACCTACTCCCTCCATTATTCCCGCTCAGGATGCTGCCTCTTCTCTATCGCTTCCAGAGCTACAGCCAATACAGCAGGTCCATCAGGACCAATTCGAGGCCATGCTGGTCGACGATCGGTTCGGCTCTGACCAACTGCATCAGTTCTCTCAGCATTTTGACTCCGTTCGGGGGGAACCCTCGAATGCAGGTGAGACCCACACCGACCATATTACTGGTCAGGTCGAGCGGATCTCCTTATCTGACCCTGTCCACGAGGTATTAGAAAGGGCTGGTTCTACCGCGAGCCAGATCTGGTCGACCTCCTCTTGGTTCATCAATTTTTCCCTTTCTCAGTTGCCGGTCGAGCAATCTGAAGAATGTCTGGCTTTGACCGCTCTGAAGGTATATTATCTTTTGCGCTTTGTCTTTATTTTATTCTCTGTAATCAGTACTAACTCTCGAACGGTGCTCTGGAGATGGGTTTGTACACCCTTCAAATGCGGGAAGCCCGTCTGGCCAAGGAGCGGGAACTGATTGTTGCCCAATCTTCTGCTGAGCAAAATGCTGCTGCAACCATCACCTCTCTGGAGGCCGAACGGAAGGCCTTTGCGGAGGAGAAGCAGAGGCTGGATGCTGAGCTCGGTACCCTTCGGGTCCAACTTGCAGCTTCCCAGGCCAAGGTCCTTGCCGCTGAGGCCGCACAGGTCAAGTTTGAAGAAATGCCATCCAGCATCCCGGACGGTCCCTATGAAGTGAACGTGGATCTGTCCGCCGTCCGGGAAACATTTAAATCCTCTGATGAATTCTCCATCATCAAGGATGATCACGCAAGGACCCAAATCCCGTTCGCCTTTGGGGCGTACTTGAAGGGTTTCCCCAAAGGTGCTGGTCGGCTATCGGCAGGGGTGACCCTCTTGGACAAGGATCCCGAGGCCAAAAAATGGAACGACTCCATTGTTTCAGACCTTTATGGCAAAATTGGCCAGGTCCTGCTGCGTCCCTTCGTTGCTCAGCTTCAAAATAATCTGGGGAGGCCGGTTCAGGCTTCTGATCTTCCCAAAGATGATATTATACAAGCTCAGTTCGAGAAATTTCTGCGAGCTCAGCAAAGGAAAGCTGATCGGGCTGTCGGGAGAGAGCCTGAACCCCCGTCTGATGATGATGAGGACGAGGATGAAGAGGGAGATGAAATGGCCCCCAGCCAATAATTTATATGTACTTTTTAATTACTTGTTGTAATTTTCTTTTCTCCAAGTAGCTTGTACTTCCCGGTCAGTAGAACCGATGAATATATATCCCTTTTTTGCATGAAGCTTTGCGTACTGTCTTTTCTGTCTTTATTGCATGATTTACTCGCCATTCGAGATTCGGCCCGTTTTGTAGTTCTTAACCAATTTCCTGACTTTATTTCTTGTTCAAATACTCCTAATGTCGTTGATCGCCGTTCGGGCATTAGAAAGTTCTGATAATTTATTAAGGAAAAAACCCCTTCTCTCTGGGACTCAGCCGTTCGGGCTTCAGACCATTTTTTAGGACTTAGCATATTCTGACTTAAGATAATCTTTTACAACGTTGATAGCCGGTCGAGCTTCAGATCAATTCTTAGAACATCTGTTTTCTTGGTTTTCTTCGCACATGGGCTTCTTCATAAGTTGGTAGCCGTTGGGGCCTCAGATCAATTTTTAGGACAGCCGTTTGATTTCAGATTACCTTTTACAACATTGATAGCCGGTCGAGCTTCAGGTTAACTTTTAGGACTTAGCAGTTTTTCTAAACAGCAAGTCACTATTATCTTTGCTAATCCTCTGTAAGCCCGTCCGGGGTACGTGCACAAAAAAATGAATCATAAATGCCCCAGATTAATCGTAACCACCCTATGCCACGTGTTGCTCACGGATTAGGGATTTGTGCGGCACTTCCCCTATTTATAGAGAGGTGCTTCCCCTAATTTCTCCTGCTGTTTTCTCACTTTTCTTTCGAGCTTTCTCTCTCTAGAATTCCCAGAATTCTCTTGCACACTCTCAAGCCTTCTCTCTCTAGAATTCCCAGAGTTTTCTCCAGTGTTTTTTATGTACTACCCCTCTAGCTCAGAA